GGGTTTGATCTGATTATGTGGGTTTTGATTTTTTTGCAGATGGTATACATACTTAAACTCTGATTTCAAGAGAGGAGGCTGGTCTCCTGAAGAAGATACACTTTTGTGTGAGGTTAGGCATCGTTTTTTATGACATAGATTAAAGAGATTGTAGTGTTTGTGTATGATCTTGTGTGTGTTTTGGTTTCTTAGGCACAGAGATTGTTTGGGAATAGATGGACTGAGATAGCAAAAGTGGTCTCAGGCAGGTAAGGTCTTATGGTGACTGAAGTTGCGAAATGAAAGTGGATGGTGAAATTGATCGGTCGTGTTATTTGTGTAGAACGGATAATGCAGTGAAGAACAGGTTCACTACTCTATGTAAGAAGAGAGCTAAGTATGAAGCCATGGCTAAAGAGAACAGGATTGCTTCTTGTGTGAACTCAGTAAGCAACAAAAGAATGTTGTTACCAGAGGGTATTAGTACACCGCGAAAAGCCGAAAGTGAATCCCCTCTTGCTAAGAAGATGAGGTGAGAACCTTGTTTTGGTTGATCCGAAGATGAAACATTGAAATGTTTATTGATGTATATGTGTCATGTTCATTTGTTCAGGAGAAGTCACAATCCAGATCTTACAGAGATCAAAAGCTATGGGGATAGATCACATATAAAGGTTGATTCGGGTGCGAATCAGCAGATAAGACCTCCATTTTCGGTACTAGCTCACAATGCCGCAAGAATCGATAGCACGGAGGAGCAGAATCAAACAGGCAATGAGAAAGAGAATGATGGTAAACAACTCTGCACAAAACTCTTCTTCTTCTTCGTGTTGTTGTATCCTGGAAAGTAAAATGTGAGAGCATTAGTAAAGATGCAAAACACAGAGTCTTATTCTATTAAGTTGTGTTCTTGGTAAATAGGTGAGGCTAAAAGTACTCAAGAGGTGTTTCTTAAGAAGGACGATCCAAAGGTGACAGCTTTGATGCAACAAGCTGAGCTTCTCAGTTCATTGGCCCAAAAAGTTAATTCAGACAACACAGAACAAAGCATGGAGAATGCCTGGAAGGTAAATATGCGCGGTTTTTTGCTCTATTGCAGTCTATATAGATTCATAGAGTAAAATGTAATTCTCTACTCAGTTTGGTCACTACGGTTCTTCTAACTTTTAAAACTATGAACTGAAGATAAAAACACTTTCCACGACTCTTTATGAGCTTTCTAATAACAAAGGCTGTTGTTTTTGTTCCTAATCCAGGTCCTGCAGGATTTCTTGAATAAAAGCAAAGAGAATGACTTATTCAGATACGGAATACCAGATATCGATTTCCAACTTGATGAATTTAAGGATCTTGTTGAGGATTTGAGTAGTAATGATGATAGTCAAGCATCTTGGAGGTTCTGAAATTACATTTTATATAATATGAACGATTGTGGTTAGTTTTACACCGAAATGGTTTTTTGATCATCTAAACAACCTTTAATGTCTCCTTATAGGCAACCTGATCTCCATGATTCACCAGCAAGCTCTGAATATAGCTCAGGATCAACGATAATGCAGAATCCTTCCGGTGATAAAACCCAGCAACCCATGTCTGATTCTCAGACAACAACACATGAACAAAATGGTGGGGAGTTACTACAAGATAAAGGGATTGTGTCTGATGCAAGTGTGGAACAAGCTGATTTACTCTCAACTTCACAGTATTTCCTAAAGAACCCGAATGAGATTGTGCCTATGTCGGGTGATGAAGAGTTTAACTCTCCTGTTCAGGTCACTCCATTGTTCAGATCTCTAGCAGCAGGCATACCAAGCCCACAATTCTCTGAAAGTGTAAGCTTTGCACCTAACTAATCAAATTCAGATTTAGTTACAGTATTGTAAAACAAGAAACTGATTGAATCTGTTAATGCAGGAAAGGAGCTTTCTGCTAAAAACACTCGGTGTCGAGTCACCATCTCCATATCCAAGTGCTAATCCTTCACAACCACCCCCTTGCAAAAGAGTCCTTCTCGATAGCTTGTGAACCAAACCAAAAACCCGTTCCTAAAACCGCGGTTATGTCTCCATGGCGTCGACATAACTTGCATTTCTCCCCTCCTTTTTGCTTAGATTTTTCTTCCATAGGTTTGCAGCCATATCGGCCTGCAAAGTTTTGGTGAAGCGGGCGTGCCATGATCTGCATTTTTTTTCCCCCATCCTCAATAGTCTTGAATCTAGAAATGTTAAAGGTAACATCTCTAAAGTCTAGACCAATCTCAGAAACTGAGTTTCTCTCTCAGATACTCAGAGGATTTCACTCATTAGGAGAGAGTGTTCTTTTCATCATCATCAGCATACTTTAAAACCCATTTCATAAAAGGTTTTTAAAGTATGTTGCTTTTTTGGCTTCTTCCATTGGTGTGTCTTGAAGAAAGAAGATTCTTTAGTTTGTCAAAAAATCCAGATACATAATCTGGGTTTTTTTCCTCCCTCCCCATGAATTCTTGAGTTGTTTTCTCTGTACAGAACCTATAATATAACATAAAAAAAAAAATAGAGTTTTTGTTTCAGAGTGTAAATAAAAGGAAAAAACAACTTCAGAGAGGCATGTCGCTTTTCTGTATACAGTAATGATT